TCAGCTGGATCATCGCATGGAGGTGCTGGCCAGCAAGGATTCGATATCAACAAGGCGGACCAGTTTCGGCTATACATTTGCAAGTAGAGTGCGGGCGTCTGAGTCGTTCGTTCTAGGCTTGAATTTCCGTTGTCAAGCTCCGTCGATGGCGCCTGTGGTTGCATATCGACAAGAACGTCGTGGGGATAAGAGTGGCAATCAGCCGAAGGGAAATGATGCCAAGCCTGGTGGTGTCGATGGAGAGAGCAGTGGTGAAGGAGAGGTCAGGCCGGGGCATCGAAGGAAGCGATTGACAAGAGAGGAGAGGAAGATGAAAAGACAGCGCAAGAGCAAGTCGTGGTAAGACGTATTCACTCGCCGCCGGTTGTGGCGAATGCTTGCTGTTTAGCCACCCTATGTCCGTACCAAGAGGAGACCTTGAATTCACTGAGGGCAGACTCCCTCAGAGGTATCGTGTCTGATATCCTCGAGTTTGAAGTAGCATGTCATTCTGGAAGTATCCACTAATAACATCGAACATACTTCCGCGTTGTCAATGATGGAGATGAGCTGATTTGGGGGCAAGAGAGGAGTTAGTATGACCTGCGACCTGTTGAGTCATATTCACGGAGTCGCCTCTGTCGACCACCAAGGCCAGGACGGTATGATAGCTGCTTTCACATCCGCTGGAGATCACGCCGGTCCAGCAGCTACAGCGTTCGGGTGAGGCCGACTGGCGTGGATTCATCGACGATTTGTGTGGTTCTCGATAGGATAAAACGGATATATTTTGCGGCCAACAATAAAGATTGGAAGCTCGACTGTAACAGCGGTGACGAACAGGATTGCATAAGCGAGTGTCAAAGAGAGTTCAAGGTTCGCCCGATGGTCGAAGCCTAATGGTTTTGTAGTTTCACCATCCTTCAGGGTGATGCTCTAGCGACTCACGAGTGTACAGCCTCTGTACAGAGGGCTTACTCGATGTGAGTTCGTACTTGACTGAGTTAACATAGCGAACAGTGAGTTCCTAACGTCCTTGTAGGATGCCAGGAGGGGGTGGGCAAATGCCTACGTGTTTCCCAGTGACCAGCCGGGCATTTGTACAAGGTAGAGGATGGACACCTCTTCAAGGTAGAGCGATCATTACAGAACGATAATCGGTAGTCGTTATTGTCAGATATCGACGTTGGGGATCTTCTGCTCACGAGCTCATCTTCACGCGAGGTCCATTATGAGCCAGTTATAGGATGGCTCCATTATGAAGCTCCCTCTCCCAAGGTCCACCTTGTTTGGTTTTGGAATTTACTCATGACTCGTTCCCCCCGCAGAGGCGACACCGATTTCTCCGCCTTACTACTTCATTCTTGGCGGGAGTAGCTAA